GAAGTGAAATATTTTGTTGGATGACCCTCTGTAGGAATGTGTCTGATATTTTTCTCAGGACTAGATTGGGTCTGTAAGGTTTGGGTGACCACAATCTGAGGTGAATTACCAAGTTTATCACAGGATGCCAAGGATGCATACCGTCATGGGGTATGATTTTTAGATTTTTGATCAGCTCACTGAAGTAATATTTCTCAGTCGTCTGCACTCTAAAATTGCACCTGTTTCTGCCTTTCCATGTGGTATTGTTGGGTTAGAAGTAACTGCCCCAGCTCACACTTAAGAGTTGGGAACTGCCTTCTGTCCTCCTCCTTTCTTGTGCATTTTTGTTTATTGGTGCAGTGGGGAAGAAGCCTCTGGGACATCAATGTCCCATATCAGACTGCCTGGGCTGGAGTCCTGGATCTGCTCCTGATTCCAGATTCCTACTGATTCTCACCTTGGGAAGCTCAGGTGATGCCTCAGGTAGGTGGGTCCCTGCTACCCACATGGAGACCCAGATGGAGTGCCTGACTTCAGCCTGTCCTAGCCCTAGCATTTGGGGAATGAATATTTCTCTCTGCTTTCAAATAAGTAAATAAATATTTTTTGTTTAAGAAACCTTGGGGGAAGGGCACTGTGGCAGAGTGGGTAAAGCCACCTGTGGCACCAGCATCCCATATGGGCACCAGTTCAAGTTCTGGCTGTTCCATTTCCAATCCAGCTCCCTGCTAATACACCTGGGAAAGCAGCGGAAGATGGCCCAAGTCCTTGGGCCCCTGCACCCATGTGGGAGACCCACAGGAATCTCCTGGCTTTAGACAGGCCGAGCCCCAGCCATCATGGCCATTTGAGGAGTGAACCAGCTGTTGGAAGATCTCTCTTTCTGTCTCTCACTCTCTCTGAATCTAAAAGCCATTTGCCTCCCCGATGCATAAATACAACACAATGAATACACCTGACTTGGCATTCCTAATCACTACCCTGCTTCCAGTGTCCAGACAAACAGCCCAGTTCCCTACCTTACGTGTGGATTTGCTCCTCAGTGGAATGTGAAATGTCTTGCCTTTTTCCTCAGTTCTTCTCCAGCGGAACACCTCTCTTAAGTTTCAGGTAAGAAGAAGGAGGGCTAGTCGCTGAGTACTGAAGGGTAGTCACAGGGGGGATCTGGGTCACCTGCCCCAGCTTGTAGACCATGCAGTTTGATTGAGGGGCCCTCCCTTTATGAGCTCATAGATGGTGTGCCCTGCTCCATTGGCAGAAGAGGTTCCTCCCACTCTCCACTCACTAGAGCCTCAGCTGGCTTTGCATAAGAAATGTTCACGGAGTTGTGGCTGTGTTCAGTACTTACAAGGAAATTAGATTTTAAGAAATGCACTCCAGAACAACTGTGCAAGTGCCTGTTTCATTCCACGTTCCCATTGTTGGCATGAGAGCAGCAGCTCTTCCTGACACTGGAACAGCTGGATTTCACTCAAAATACAGGTGTCGGTCACCCTTGCCCTTGAGTAGAGCTGACACATGTGTAAGTCAGCCTTGCCTACAATTACAGCCAGCACACATTCAAGTCAGTTTTGCCTACACTTACAGCTGATCACACATGTTAAGGCAGCCCTATCTATGATTGTAACTGATCACATGTTATTTTTTTAATCAAAGTGAAACCAGCCATGAACTAAAAATTATTTATTGTAAATATAGTTTTCCAGTACTGATTTGTGTTCTTTAAATCTTTAATTGGGAAGTTGTAAACATCCACCTAGATTAAGAATTTCTGTTTTTTTTGATTCATTTATTATTTGAAAGAGTTACACAGAGAGAGAAGGAGAGTGGTGGGGAGGAAGGGATCTTCCATCTGCTGGTTTACTCCTCAATTGGCCACAATGGCCAGAACAGTGCTGATCCAAAGCCAGGAACTAGGAGCCTCCTCTGGGTCTCCCACAGAAATACAGAGGCCCAAGGACCTGGGCCATCCTCCACTGCCCTCCCAGGCCACAGCAGAGAGCTGGATTGGAAGCGCAGCAGCTGGATGCTGGTGTTGCATGGGAGGTTTCCTACTATGCTATAGAGCCAGCCCCTCTGTGAACATTTTAAGGAGTGTTCATGTGCATGGATTTCAAAGTGCTTTTACCAAAATAAAGTTATCTTTTCATTCAATTTCTCATGAACTTTTTAGAGTACACCTGTATGTATTCCATGAAATTTACTGCATTGAAGAAATTGAAATAGAAAGTTTTGGGCTGTTGTTAATATACATATAAATATCTGTGAAATAGACTCACCGTGTAGAGCTATTTCAGGTTCTTGAGCAGCAGTTCAAGAGATTTCCCATACACCCTTGCATAGCATAGCCTCTCCTGATCAAATTGCTCATTTCAGAATACCTTTTGAAGAGGCAAAAACAAGATATGTGACATGTTTCCTAGAAAAACCCATAATGGTTATGTTAAGTTTGCTTTAAATGTTCATTACCTAAATTGTGTAAGAAAATAGCCTTACCATAATCCTAGGCTACTGGTGTTTTCAGGATTCATGACATTACTGTCTTTCTGCTTGCATCAAGTGTCCACAGTTTGATGAAACCTTCTGTTCTGGTCGATTATCACCCAAACACACCTTCTACACAGGACTAGAAGATTCCTGTAGACTCTTCCTACTCTTTATTACACACAGAGAGTACAGAACCTTCTCTAGCTATCCATGGAGAACATGTGGTAACCATTCCATACTGTAGAATTTGCGTGAATGGTAGTAGCTTTTCTTGTAAAATCAAAGGAAGACCAGGATCTACCTCTTAAACATCTGACCCATACTTTGATTTCTCAGTGCCTCTTTTATATCTTCTCGCTTCTATTGATATTAGTTTCTGTTGGTAATTCCTATCCTGAGTGGAAGCCATACTGTTAAATTTATTTTCCTACAACATTTCTAAATCAGCTGGCATTGAATTGTGTATGAGATGAAATTCACGGAACACAGCTATAAAAATAAATCCAGTGGTTCTAATTAAATTGTTAGCATCATTTTCTTCCTTTGCTTGTATATCTTCAAAAAGCCTGCTCACTTACTCTGTCTCATCTTGTTTTCTCATGCTCCTAAGTTACAGTGTAGCTCATAGGTCTACAGATTAGGAAGCTGCACTTTTTTTTTTATAAAGTGACTTCTGATGGATCCAGAAATGCAGTGAGACTCCCATCCTTTGCTGCCAGTGCCTCGTGTGTCAGATCTCCACTTTCCCTTCTTACCCCATTGCACTATTGCAATGACTGTCTAAAAAGCCTTTTCAAACACATCAAAGTTGCCTTTGGAGAAGCTAACTAGAAACTTCTACTCATTGCAGTAATAATTAGCAGCTGGGAAAAAACTTTCATAATCAGTCTCCAGTCCCAACTCTACACTCTAATTGCTGCTCCAAGTGGATAATAATTAATGTTCTGTCTGTGGGGAGGTGAGGTCATGGAATCACAAACCCATATCTCAGGATCTGACAGCCTTCCCTCTGCACTTGTACTGACTGCTGTGACCCTCTCACTGAGTGCATCGTGATGCCACTGGGAAGAAGCTGGATGAGTTCTATTTCAATTTGAGAGGCAGAGTCATGAAGCAGAGTATGTCATAGGAAAGGAGGACTTTCCTGGGTGTCAATGTATGAACCGCATCCAAAGTCAAGGCCTCACAGGGAGGAAGAATAATTCCTGAGGTATGAGCTGAGCTACGAAAGAATTAATTGGAATTCTAGGTAATTCCTAAAGCAATTTGGTGTAATAATCAATGGCAGTGACTGTTGGCATTTGATATAAGTGATAATGAAATCTGACTTTAAGGTACTTCAGGACTGTTCCAAGAACTTTTTGGAGTACATTTAGTAGTTCCAGGATCATCTGCTATTGAACCAGCTTTACAGAATCGTGGTACAAATTTTAGGATGCCTAGCGGTGTGCCTGTAATACCTCCATGTATATAAACAAAGATGGGATTAATCAACATGGATCGCATTTTCCTGTGTACTCAATGACAGTTGTTGGGAATGTGTTCTCTAACTTTGGTGTATGATACCACTAATGAAGACATTGATTATGTTTATACTGAAGACATCTGTGGTCTATGGATTATGGTTGATTATTTCCCCTCTTTATGTTGGGGAAATGGCATTTAAAGAAAATAATTGTATAACTATGGGTTTCAGAAAGCTATGTCATGCAATATTGTTTCCCATCCCATAATTTATGGAATGGTCTGGACTAATAGTTCCTATCATAGGTGTCCTTGTATTTGTATTTTTAGCATGAAAGCAGGTTAAACTTTCCCTCTTCTTGTGGAGGCCTCTTCCTTTCATTGACTCCAACCAGATGTGGGGCAGGCTTCTGGGGTCTGCACGGCTCTCAGTGCACCTCCACTGGTGAAAATCTCTCATCTTCCAGTCCTCATTGATTTTGGCCTATTTGCTGATCTGCAGACATAAATAGGGACTTGTTAACAACCAATAGCATCAAATGAAGTATTCCCCAATCCAAAATAAGATAACAAGTTATGAAAATAAAAACAAATGTGTGAGGATACTTCAGAGAAGTTAGTGGGAAGTGAATTAAAGGTAAGTTTATTTTAGTCCAAAACATTTTCTTAAATTCATGCATATGAAGGGTTCTTCAAAAGATCATGGAGATGCATATTATGGAAAACATGATGCATGGATTTTGAAATCTCTGCACTATAATAAGCTTATCTTTTAATTAAAATTTTCCAAGGACTTTTTTAAAGTTCCCTCATATATCTAGGCTCTTTGGGGACAACCGCTAACCAGCTTATCACCCATGTGGTGGTTTCATGTCTTCAGTGCCAGTCCAGGCAGTTTCAAGTCCTCACCTGTTCAAGTCCCCCAGCCTCTTTATGAATTCACACAAAACACTGACCTTCTCCTTCTCTGAGTTCCCTGCTTCTTTATAATGTAAGTAATAGCAGGGAGTGCCTCACATGTTTGTGGAAAGCAAAGACGGTGCCGGTGTGTGCTCTTCACTGCAGTGATTCATACACTGTAAGTCTTGTCTGCAGGTTACACCCTAATCTCTTGGAAATCTCTTTTTTTTTTTACTTAAGGAAGATAAACTTCATGCATCTCATATATACAAATTTAGGAACATAGTGATTCTTCCCACACTTACTCCCTCCAGACAAAACTCCTACCCTTCTTCCTCCTCCTTCTCCCATTCCTATTCTTATTTTTCACAAGATCTATTGTAAGTTAACTTTAAATTCATAAAATTAACCCTACTCTAAGTGGAGAGTTCAACAAATAGTATGAAGAAAAATCAAAAAAACAAACAAGCAAAAAAGCATTGTTCCTCAACAGTCAAGACAAGGGCTGTTCAAAATCATCACGTCACAGAGTGTCAACTTCACACCTATAGATTACCTTTTAGGTACTCTAGTAGTTACCACAGATGAGAAAGAACATAAGGTATTTGTTTTTGGAGGACAGGCTTATTTTCCTAAGTGCAGTGGTTTCCAGTTGTATCTATTTTGTTGTGAAATAGAGGATTTCATTTTGGGGGTGGGGGCAGATCTCTTAATAAAAGAAGAAGAGCTCTCAGGATTTCTCAGTGGCGGAATCACAGTTCCTGGAGAAGGTTGGTGTTCAGCTGGTGCTGTAAATGCATCTCACTCTTGGTCTTCTCATGCAGGTACCTGGTGTGAAGATACATGTCAGTCACCAGGAGCTAGCAGAATGGCTTCCTGGGAGGTGGCCACAGGAACGCTCTTCTTAGCTCAGGTCATATGTGGGATTCTGGGGAACTTCTCTCTTCTTTCCCATCATGTCTTCCTTTCCTTGACTGGATTCAAGGCAAGATGTACGGATATGATTCTGAGGCACCTCCTTGTAGCCAACTGCTTGGTCATTCTCTCCTACGGAGTGCCACAGGCAGTGACAGCTTTAAGGGGGAAATTTCTCCCCAGCGATGCTGAGTACAACCTTCTTTTCTATGTACGGAGAATGTCCAGGGCCGTGTCCATCGAAAGCACCTGCTTCTTGAGTATCTTCCAGGCCATCACCATCAGCCCCAGGAACTCTAGGTGGGCAGAGCTTAAAGTCAAAGCTCCCAGGTACATAGGCCTCTTCTCCATGCTGTGCTGGATCCTGAACATGTTAATAAACACCATTTCCCCCATCTACGTGACAAGTAAGTGGATCAACACAAGCATCACAAAGAGAAAAGACTATGGGTACTGTAACGCTGTCTTCCAAGACACCTTCACAAGCTCGCTGTTCTTGGCACTACTATTGTTGCCTGATGCTGTGTCCTTGGGGCTCATGCTCCTGGCCAGCAGCTCCATGGTGTTCATCCTGCACAGACACAAGCAGCAGGTGCAGCACATTCATGGTCCCAGGAATGCTTCCCCCAGGACTTCCCCTGAATCCAGAGCTACTCGGAGCATCCTTGCTCTGGTGAGCACATTTGTATTTTTTTACGTGGTCTCCTCCACTTTCCAAGTGTATTTGGCTCTTCTTAGTAAACCCACTCGGTTGACAGTGAACATCTCTGCATTATTTGCTGGCTGTTTCCCAACTCTTAGCCCCTATCTTCTCATGAGCTGTGACTCCAGGGTACCCAGGCTCTGCTTTGCCTCGATAAGCAATACAAAATCCCCCAACACTATCAGAAGCATGTACCTTGTATTTGCTTTATAATACTCACTTGTTGTACAATAGTATAGGCACAGTTATTTGGTAGCCATATTACAAGACCCTGTACTCATGCTTACACACATGTGTGTATGTATATAGGGTGTAATACACACTATTAGATTACATTTGTTATCAAGAAATCATAGTAGGATAATATATACTTAGAAATATAAAAATATTAGTCACAATAATAAACTGCTTTAAATCTACAGCCTCTTTTATTTGATATTTATACAGTCATTAATTGATTAAGCCACATGAAATTTATTTTTCATTTTTCTACTTTAAGCCTTATATTTTAGGTATATATTTACAACTGATTAAGTATAGTCAAACAATGTTTAACAGGAATAGTCTCCTTGTTTTAAAATAACACCTGATATAATTGAGATTGGATTTCTCTAATTACTGTGTGCACCTCTTGCCATTTGTTCAGTATTCTTGTTCTTTCTGCCTTAACTTTTTCTTTTTTAAAAGATTTATTTACCTATTTGACAGGCAGAGTTACAGAGAGAGAGGAATCTTCCATGCACTCCCAATGGCTGCAACAGCTGGCGCTGCACCAGTCCATAGCCAGGAGGTTGGAACTCCATCCGGGTCTCCCACGTGGGTACAGGGGCCCAAGCATTTGGACCATCTTCTGCTGCTTTCCCAAGCACCTTACTCAGGAACTGGATAGGAAGTGGAGCAGCTGGGACTCAAACCAGTGCTCACATGAGATGTCAGCATTGAATATGGTGGCATAACCCTGCTGAGCCACAAAGCTGGCCCTGACATAGGGCCTTGATTGCAAGTTAAAATGGTCAGTTTTGGGGCCAGCGCTGTGGCTTAGTAGAGAAAGCTGCTTTCTGCAGTGCTGGCATCCCATCTGTGCACCGGATCAAGTCCTGGCTGCTCCACTTCCAATCCAGCTCTCTGCTATGGCCTGGGAAAGCAGTGGAAGATGGCTCAAGTTCTTGGATCCCTGCCACCCACATGGGAATACCTGGAGGAATCTCCTGACTCCTGGCTTCAAATTGGTGCAGCTCCAGCCATTACAGCCATCTGAGGAGTGAACAAGTGAATGAAGACCTCTCTCTCTCACTCGCTCGCTCTCGCTCGCTCTCTCTCTGCATCTCATTCTCTGTGTAACTCTGAGGTTCAAATAAATAAATAAATCTTTTTAAAAATGAATAAAAAAACAAAATGGTCAGTTTTCTCTCTGAGCTAATGAGATTATGAACTTATGATATTATGTTTATTATTTTCCTAAATATGCTTCTGACTGTTGGAAATTTGATCATAAAGGTATCCCTCTATTTTGTTAACTGTTTGTATATTATTATTGTCACCACAGTTTTACTTATATTTCAGGATGGCTCATAAAAGGAATTATCACTATTTACATGTGATAGTCCTTTTTAATGACTTACTCTATAGAATAAAGCAAGCACCATCTTCATAACATAGTGTTTTAAAAAATTAGGAATGGATACGCTATATACCTTTTTTAATTAAAGAAAAAGGTTTCAAGATGGCTTTGTGACATAGCAGATAGAGCTGCCAACTGCAACATCAGCATTCCATATGGGTGCCAGTTCAGCTCCCAGCTGCTCCACTTCAGATCCACACCCTGCTAATGGCCTTGGAAAAGCATTGTAAAATGGCCGAAGGATTTGGGCCTTTGCCACCTGGCTTTTGGCTTTGGCCTGGCCCAGCCCTGATTGTTGTGGCCATCGGGGGAGTAAACCAGAGGATGGAAGTTAAGTAATTTTCCAAAGAATGTTGGTATGCATCACCATGGAGTGCCATGTGATATCTGAATTGCATAGAAAGGGGGCTGCATGTCAACATGATGCAGAATACTCCATCTGGAGAGCAAACTGGTACTTAATTAGCTTTATACTAGTATCTTACAAATACATGTGCTGTGAATTATCTATGGTGTTTCAACATTGCAATATATCCAAAAAAGTATTGGTGATGATTATTTCTTGTGATGTTTTCATGTAAGGAAGAAGGAACATGAAAGGAGGGCTTCAGATGTAAAGTACGTTGGCCCAAGTGCTGCACCCACATAGGAGAAGGCCTCCTGGCTTTGGCCTGGCCCAGCCCTAGCCATTGCAGCCACTTAGAGAATGAACCAGCAGATGGAAGATTCCCTTTCTCTCTCTCTCCCTCTCTCCCACTCTCTCTTTCTCTAACTCTGCCTTTCAAATAAATAATCCTTAAAAAAAAAAGGCTCTTCAAAGCATATAAAATAAGGAAATCATTATTTGAAAAGCATACCAACAGACCCTGGGGACGTGATAGGAGCGGTGTTTATCTCCATCCCTGAGTGTTGGATACCAAAGAACAACCTCTCCTACCAGACACACCAGGGTGTCTCTGTACCTGGCAGCTCCTGGAATGCAGAAAAGGCCCCTGTCCACTCAGATCTTCCCATATAGAGATCCAGGGAATTGTGCTCCTCGGGAACCTGCCCCAGTCCTGATGCCCTCCATTCTCAGAAATGCTCACATATTCTGCTACAGTAGTGAGGATGTGTGCTGAGCTTTGGCTCCATACAGCACTGGGTGCTTTCCCATTGACCAGAGCTGGCTTTGGCCTTCAAAATGGTCCCAAGATCCTTGAACATGCTCTTTAGTTCATGTTTGCCTGAGCATATTATTAAAACCAAATGCACGTTCAGATCCACTTCAGAGAGTCCGTGGTTGGATTTAAGAGTCTCGGGGAGCTGTGCTTGCTGTCTCCAGCTTAGTACAGCTGATGGGCAGGTCTGGAGGAACCAGCATTTCCTTAGAGACAGAATTTATTTCATTTGAGAGACAAAGAGAGAGCTCCAAAAATACCCACAACAGCTGAGGCTGGGCTGAGCTAAAGCCATGAGTTGGGAACCCAATCCTGGTCTCCCACTAGGGTGGCAGAGACCCAACTCTTCAGCTCTCAGCTACTGCCTCCCGAGAGGCATGGTATCAGAGAGCTAGAATCGAGAGTGAGCCAGGGCTTGAACCCAGGCACTCCCACATGGGATGAGTGCAGGCTTGAACCCAGGCACTCCCACAAGGGATGCATGCATCCCAAATAGCATCTTAACTGCTAAGCCAAGTTCCCATTTAGGTTGATTGACTTTTTTCTTTCAAATACTTTATAAGCACTTAAATATTCAAACTATTGGTTAATTCATATTAGCAAACAATCGCTTTCTGGATTGGAAATCTTGCTACTTACATGCCTATGAATTTTCAGGATAAATATACTGTTGAAATTCTATGTCTTCATATATACAAAATGTGGAGAGTGGCTCTAAACTCAAAACTTATTTAGGATAGAATTGACTGAAGGATGTATAAGAATTCCTTAGTGTTAGTTAGTTAGTTAGTTAGTTTTGTTAATTTTTTTGCATGTACAGAGAATATTTTATTAGACTTTGACTTTTAATTAACAGAGTAAAATAGAAACCAAATGTGTGAATCAGTTTAGGAATATGTATTTTTATATAATTCATTACAATTAGATAATCAATATAATACACTACATGTATCCCAACTTAATTGGGAGTCTTCAGTATGAACAAATTCAACACACTCCTTTAGATACAATTTCTTTTAGGTTGACAGCAACACTTTTTGTTATATTTTATGTCTTGTAAATTCCAATAAGTCTATCCAAAATCTCAAACATGTGGTTTCAAAGTGAAATTATGATGAACTGGGCATTTTTGTTCACATATATACAATGCAACAATGGACACATTTTTAAAATCAAAGGCTGCATCAGTTTCATCCATGAAGTAAAGGGGAGTGGGTTTGTAATGATGGAGAGCAAACTCTAAAGCCAAGGAACGAAGTGTTTTCTCTCCTCCTGAATGGTTGAAGATCTTCCAACTTTCCTGAGGTGGTGGAACACTGTGCAGGATTCCTTCAGAGAAAGGATCCAAGCTGTCTCTAAGCTCCAGTTCAGCTTCCCCTCCCAAGATAAGCATCTGGTAATTCTCTTGTATTTGGTACTATATAACAGTCTGCCATAAATTCATTCAGCCTGTGTTTCCGCAGATCTTCCTTTGCTTGTCTAAAATTATCTCTTTCATAAGTAATTTTGTCCAATTCTGCTACCCTTTACAAATATAATTCTTCCTTCTTTTTATATTCTGCAATGGTGCCAAGTTTGGTTTCATTTCATGACACTGGGCTACCAAAAGTGAAATCTGACTTCTTATGGAATCTCTATTCTATATTGCTTCAAAATCTTCTTAGCTCAAAAGTGAAACTTCTTCAACAGGATTATCTTTCACGGGATCAATGATTTTTTTTAAGATTTATTTATTTATTTGAAATTCAAACTTACACAGAGAGAGGAGAGGCAGAGGTAGAGAAAAGACTTCCATCTGCTGGTTCACTCTCCAATTGGTCTCAATGGCCAGAGCTGGGCCAATCTGACGCCAGGAGCCTCTTCCAGGTCTCCCACATGGGTGCAGGGGCACAAGGACTTGAGTGGTCGTCCATTGCCTTCCCAGGCCATAGCAGAGAGCTGGATGAGAAGTGGAGCAGGGGCTGCCACTGTGGTGTAGCAGGTTAAGCCACCGCCTGCAACACCAGCATCCCATATGGGTGCCAGTTCAAGTCCCTGCTGCTCCACTTCCAATCCAGCTCTCTGCTATGGCCTGGGAAAGTAGTAGAAGATGGCCCAAGTCCTTGGGTTACTGCACCTGCATGAGAGACCTGGAAGACTCTCCCAGCTCCTGACATTGGATTGGCACAGCTCTGGCCATTGCAGCCATCTGGAGAGTGAACCAGCAGATGGAACACATCTCTCTCTCTGCCTCTGCTTCTCTGTAACTCTGCCTTTCAAATAAATAAATACTTTTAAAAAAGAAGAAGAAGTAGTGCAGCTAGGATTCAAACCGGTGCCCATATGGGATGCCAGCACTGCAGCTGGCAGCTTTACCAGCTACACCACAGTGCTGGCCCCTGGGCCCTGCCTTCTAAAGGATCCACCACCACCAAATAGTGCCACCCAGGGACCAAGCCTCTAACACATGGACCCTCCCTTGCTCAAACTGAAATCCAAACCAGAGCACCCCTTTCCCTGATTTTTTTCTCTGCTCTGTCACTCTCTTGCATGCTTTCACCTCTCCAAACACTCCAGCTTTCCCCACATGCACCTCCACCTAAAGTGACAATTGAGACAGAATCCGGTGCCCCAACTGG